AATACATCCAAAATCTTCAGAATTGTCTTCTAATGGCCTTCTATACATCATTAGGAGATGGTGTGTCAAGAGTGGGTACCACTGCTGAAGTGGGCAAGGTAGAGAAGATGCACTTCCATCCAGACAGCCTTTTACTGGGAGCAAAGTGAAGGGATCCCTTCATTTCACTTTCCTGTCACGGACGCGCATCTTCATCTTACCATAAAGCCCTCCAGGTTTATAAACCCAGCCCTGACAGAAGCGGTTACTTCCACAACACTCAGTTTCAATTTTATACTGTTTCAAAAACTCACCCTTCCCTTTCAACCATGCTGCCTGGTTATCCAGGGCTGCTCTCGTTTATTGTGTTTAATTAGCAATAACTATGTTCTAAAATACAATTATTATACTGATTACACACTGTCTTACTGCATCTCGGGACGTAAGAGCTGTCAGAAAAAGCAGCAGCATTTCGATGATTTTTTTTTTTCTGATGACAGAAGAGTGTCTTCAATCCACAGGAGAATTAGGATGCTATTTAAAAAGAACTGAGTGACACAAGAACTGGCTAACACAGAGGTACAAGTTACACGGTCTGTCAGTTGGAAACCAGTAACCCCTCTAATAAATGGGAGTTTTCTCCCCATGAAAAGGACTGAAAACCTGAGTTACAAGCCCTTCACGTGATACTGAGATGCAGCGAAATGACACAGTCATCAAAAAGGAACCACCACCTGTGTTTTAGCAGCAGAAATAGTGAAGGAAACCAGTGAGGTCTCACCTGGAGTCAGTATCACTGTATCACCTACGTCTGAGATGGACCAGGGGATGGAGCCCCTGGTCTGGAACAGACCTGAGCTGGGCTCATTTTACTTTGACAAACGGGCAAGAAAAAACATAAGAGTCACTTGTATTTATATTTGAATAGTAGAAAGGAAGGAGAGCAGCGACTCTGAAATAGAGGACAACGATGGCAGAAAATTAAGACACACGGTCTGTCAGTTGGAAACCAGTAACCCCTCTGATAAATGGGAGTTTTCTCCCCATGAAAAGGACTGAAAACCTGAGTTACAAGCCCTTCACGTGATACTGAGATGCAGCGAAATGACACAGTCATCAAAAAGGAACCACCACCTGTGTTTTAGCAGCAGAAATAGTGAAGGAAACCAGTGAGGTCTCACCTGGAGTCAGTATCACTGTATCACCTACGTCTGAGATGGACCAGGGGATGGAGCCCCTGGTCTGGAACAGACCTGAGCTGGGCTCATTTTACTTTGACAAACGGGCAAGAAAAAACATAAGAGTCACTTGTATTTATATTTGAATAGTAGAAAGGAAGGAGAGCAGCGACTCTGAAATAGAGGACAACGATGGCAGAAAATTAAGACACAAACTGCCCACAAACACGTGTAGGTGATGTACTGGAATAAATTTTCCACAAATGGAGGGGGGCGGAAAAAAAGCCTCAGTATCTTATGAGAGGGATGATAGAGTGACCTCCGGGGTCTGCACTTGGTGGGACAGGAGACCTTTGTCTGTCCATCTCCTGAGCTACACCACAAAACTGTGGGTTGCAGGTAGATGGGAGTCAGTTCTGTTCTGCTGCTCCCAGGAGCACAAAGCACAGGGTGGGCAACAGAGCAACAGCCTCCAGTGGCCCAGAACTGTTTATTTTTGAAACACTGTATTTGGACTAAAAGTACCAGAGAAGATTAGGTGTTTAATTTGTAATTATTAAGGACATATAATAATAATCATTAGATGATGGGGAACATTCCCCCACAAAGAATTTTCATGTTAGCGATAGTCCCTGACAGGATTTATCTCTGTTTTCCAGGCTCCACTGCAGTGCTACTCAGTATGACATTCCCCCACAAAGAATTTTCATGTTAGCAATAGTCCCTGACAGGATTTATCTCTGCTTCCCAGGCTCAGCTGCAGTGCTACTCAGTATGATGGGTTAAAAAACAAAGAAAAAAACCAAAAGGTACCCACAATCATACCACAATCCTGAGAAAATCCAAACGACCACAAGCTGGTCAGTTCCCAGCTATCCTTAAAACTGTTTTTGGGGAACAAAGGTCCAAAAGAAATTTATTTCAGTCGCTTTCAAACGAAATTATTCATGTTTATGATTTAGTTGAAATGCAACAAAATTTGATTAAAAGCAGCGTGTGCAACTTCCTGTAACTTTAAAATTTCCTTTCTAATTATGTGTTGAGAAATATAATTAAAGTCATCTGCATACCAAAAGAAATGTTATTTACAAATGAGAAATTAGAATTCCTTTGTTTCCCTGATACCTCGGCTCATTAAGCAAATTTAAATGGAGCCACCGATGCTTTGCAATAAACTGTTCGCTATCTGTTTCTAAATCGATGTTAATAACTCTCACTGTTTTTATCACTGCCATTTTCCATGTCTCTGCCATGTCACCCAGGACACGAAGGGGGAAGCAGGCTGTGGAGGGGAGGATCCGGAGGGTCTGGAGCCGGAGCCAGGAGAGGGCGTGCTGTGACCCAGCCAGAAATGGGAAATCCATACTTGCACTTAAACACTTTCACAAATCAGTTTTCATTTCACTTTTTCATCACTTTTTCACCGTATTCTGCCAACACTGTTTGCCCGAGTTTCCTAAACATTATTTCAGTTACTTGTTCTCCCAAAGGGCAACCGTTATCCCAGGTAAAATATTAAAAACAAGCCTTCATTTAGAGAAAAGGAACTGTCACAACAGCTCTTACTGTTTAACACATTCCACTGTGTTAACAATACTTCTGTACTGCATTTCTTGTTCTTTAGATTGACCTGATTAGGCTGTAATTATTAAACTTAAAAAAACCAAAACAACAAGGCCCCAAGTATTATTGCTTTACTGCAATTACTTCAAGTGCTCAAGCACTTATACTTCCCTTGCTTTTGCATCTGTTGTATGAGATTCCTACGCTGCCTCAAATCACAAGGGAAATCATCAGATACATTACAAAGCGAGTATTAGCCCAGCCCTGAGGGAGGCTGGTTAGTTCACCAGTTCATTTTCCTACTGTCTTAAATCCCTGCCACTTTTCCATGTCTGTCATTTGAAAGATACTGGACGGCAGACATCGTAACGCAGCACAACTACTGTTGTTTTCTTATTTCTAGCATTGAACTAGAAAGTAACCATAATCCAGTAAAATTTCATTTTATCTAGAGGTCCAAATACAACTGTCATAGGAGCTTTCCAAATTTTGTTAAAACATGGAACCACCTGAACAATTTTTTTCCAAGAATCGCAACAGATTTTGTCCTCATTCATTTTTTTCTAATACACTTCTCATCCAGTCTCCTCAATTGGGTTTTTAATTATAGCACTTCAGTCTTAATGTCTCTAATTCTTTGTTTAGAACTGAAAAAAAAAAATATCTCATAGCCTGTAACTGGATGAAAGAAAGGCTTTCTTCTTGATGCAAGAACATAGGTGTGGGTTGGCTAAAGGCGAGTATTATGCTATTCAGTCTAAAGACCATTTCTTTCTTGAATCATTTATTTTGCACGAGTGAAAAAGTCAGAATACAGTTGAGAGCCTTGCTGCAGATGCTAACAGTGACAGGTGGATCAAAACCAGAAGAAATGAGAACAGCATTAAATATGAAAAAAAAAAAATAATCTATCAAAACAGTAGGTCTCAATTTATTTTTTTTTATTATAAACCTCTGTTTCAGTATAAATAAACTATCTGCAAAAAGCACAGTAAAAACTGTTCAGAAGAAGTTTCAATTTCAAAGCATGAAACAAATCGAACAAGCTCAGGGGTAACACCCAGAGGCCTGGAGTAAAGCTTTCTTTGAACCTTCAGGGCAAAGGAGACTTGCCAAGGCTGGAGTGTGGCAGATCTCAATTTGAAACAGCTGGAGAGATTTTTTTTTCCCAAGGCTAAAGTCTAGAAAATTCAAAGAAGGTTGGGGTTTCTTTAGCAAACCTCTTCCTTTGGCTTGTCTATTAGACCTCAGAGTATTTAGTGGTCTTCTGTAACCTCAGTCCCTACTGCAGTCTCTCATGTAATGCAAATAAATTACCTGGCTATAAACTTCTAATTTTATTATGCATTTTCATTTCAGATGATCAGAACAGAATTTTAATGCTCATATTTAAAACCAAGGAAAAAAAAAAAATGTTGCTTTATTCAAGCAACCCACCCATTAAAGAGATTAAATGCCATGCTGACACCAACAAAGAAAATCTATGAGAGTACATAAAACACAACCAGATTGCTCAAATCTCTGACATCTCAATAGCCAACACCCTTCTCCCAGGGACACCAAAGTCCCTGAGATGCTTTCCTGTAATGTATGCTTACATTGTACTCGCACATCAAGTATAATTTATCAGCCTTTTGTTTTTACATTTAATTTAAAAAACAGCTGTTCCTTCTTTTACATTAATATAGACATAAGGAAGCATTTGTTCTTTGGAGATTATTCCTAAATGCAAATCCTGATGAGGCTTCTCTTTAGTTAATTTAGTTCCCTGACTACATCACATGCCAGGAGTATTACTTATTTTACTGCAAAAAGGAAATTAAGAGGTAACACTTATTTTTGAATCAAGCATTATTTTCAGAACTGTCTCAATAGTTTTATGATTCACTATATCTGAAAGATCAAATAAAGAACCAGGATCGATGTCAAGTCACTTTAGATAAATGTATTTGTTAAAGAGAAGATATTTTCCTTCCTATTTTTTTTTTTAATTTGCTTGGTAGCAAACTTCTACTATAAGCAGTGTTGTAATCTCAGCACTGTTCTCTCTCAAAAATAATGACCCACCGTGTCCTTGCACACACCATGTTTTACATGTCACAGCATAAAAAGCAGAGAACAAATTAGAACGGAGAAGAAATTTATCTCGCTGAACAGAACTGTGTGTATCTCATCTGAGCAGTGAGATTTAATGAACAACTACAGCAAGGCAACAGCACATGTCTGTGAACTCTGAAACACTTTAAAAATTGTGCATTATGACAAGGATGGATTACTTACAGTGCGTGACTCCAGCCAGGGTTTGATAGAAGGTAGGGGTATCGCTGTCATCAGTGAGTGTCACATACACACCTCCAGACAGCAGCCAACGGGAAAACGTGAAAGCATCTTTGTTGTGCAACAGCCAAACCCTGAATTTCTCATAGTTTACCTTTTCACCCTGTAAGAAAAACAAGAAAACATGAGCTGTTTTTCTCTGCTTTCTCAGTACCAGTAAATCGGAACCATCCAGCTGTATGAACAAGAATTGGGACAATCTCCTATAAAAATAAGCACTAAAATAATGTTTTTCTTTGGAGCTATGCCTGTTTTTCCATTTCATTCTGAAATACAGCACTGGGAAGGAAATTAAGACTTCTCATCTCTCTCTGCATTTCAACCACCTACTCGGTGTGGCCTTTGGAAAGTCATTTACTCTGAACCTCAGGTTAAAAGGATTAGAAGAAAAAATGGTTACTTACAACTCAAAATAACAGAGGTTATTTTTATGAATTCAAATTTATTATGATAGATAAAAGCTCTTCTGTGCCAAGTAACAGGTGCTATAAAATCATAAACATTCTGTTATATCTGTTCAAGTACATAAACACCTAACACAGAAAAATTAGATTTGTGAATAACTAATAGTATGATTAATCACCGCAGTAGCATGTTGATTTTTTTGCCTCTGTTGACCAAAAGCTACTTTGGAACACCCATGTAAACATGACATTCACAGTATCTCCTAACTCAGCCTCTCTCACTGGATGTCTCATGGAACTGTCTGTTCAGGAATACATAAAAGCCATAGATTCACAGCATTTAAATGCTGAAGAGGGTGTTTAAACCATTTAGTTGAACGGTTTCCAAGTTGTGACCATGAAACCATAGGGATCAGCAGACTAATTTCTACAGGATCTACAAAACTAACTGAAATAAAAGCAAACCTATTATCAGTAGACAAACTCATTATATGGAGATCCTAATCTCCATGGGAAATAAACCGGGGTCTCTGCAAAGTGAAAGAGGTTTCAAATCATTGATTATTTAAACTTCCCTAATATCACAGGCCATTAAACTTCCCTGAATTACACCTCTACAGAATCCAACAATTTGCATTTGGCCACGGACCATCTGCAGCTGCCAACTGCAGAAAATTGAAAATCCACTACTTCCTTTGCCAGGTTGCTCAAATGGTTAATCACCATCGCTGCGAAAACACTTGCTTCATATTCCAATTGCAATGGATTATTTCAGGTTCCAGATGCTCGTTCTTTTTATTCCTCTTTTTTCCTAAAAAGTGTTACATTTTTCCTCCAACAAATACACGCAGAAACACCCCAATACCTAGAGCTACTATCACCAATTTCCACATGGTTATAACTCAAGATGCTACAGGGCTATTCCATCCCCAGTTTAACCTGGATATATCCATGGTACTGCCTGACAGCGCGGTCCTAACCTTCCTCCTACCAACACTCCTGATCCTTCAGCCCTTCTCTTTTGTCACAGCCATCACATTAGTGCAATCAGGTGGCAAAACAGACCGAGCTGAAAAATAACCTCCAGGTTTAGGAGCTACAGAGAAAGGACTTACTGCTCAGCCAGACCAGTATCCCAACCCAGTTCATCCAGGTATCACATAAATACCTGAGCCAGCACAAAGGCAGGAGAATGAATGACAGTCAGGAAAAGGGGAACTCAATAACTTGGATTTGCAGGATTTAACCCATTGTGGAACCACTTCCTTAAGTTAAAAAAGTCCCTCTACTGCCAAATTAACAGAGGAAAAAAAAGCAGCCCTCAATATATATATTTTTTTAATTTCTCTAACAGTTTGGATCAGAGACAAGATCATTTTCTTACTGCCTGTTCCACTCTACTCTCCACACTGCTTTCTGCAAAGGCAGCAAGAGCTGTGTCACGTTTCTCAAAGACTTTGCCCTGTTCCAACCAACCAGAGGAAGGACAAGGAAGAAGAGGGACAGGAAAGCTCTGTCAGCAGGGAAAAAGCATTTAAAGCAAGTAATGTTTACACCTGAGCCATGATGGAACAACTAGAGCAATACAGGTATCACTGAATTTGTTTCCTGTATTTTGGAAACAAGAGTGAGGAAAACTCAGATGTATTTTAAAGCTTGTATTTCTAGATCAGTACAAGCAATAATTCTGAAGAATAGAAGTATAAACATCATCCTTTAAAGCAGAAGCTCATCCACCATACAGCAGGAAGGCAGGTCCACAGCAGGACCATTAAACTTTCTCACTCTCCAGCAATGACCGAGTATGATTAACGGGCCAGTAAATCCTGCTGAGTGGGTTATTACGCTATTTTCATTTTAAAAGAAAAATCAATATACAGCATTTTCTTGAACAGGAAAATGGTCCGGAGCCAGATTGATACTTCTCTTCCTGCAAGTCTTCATAAAGTACTTCTGGATTTCTTGGACAGCGTGCAATTAACTTTTAGGGTGTAATTCATCATACCATATTGATGAGAAATTATAAATAGGAAATACTGAAGTGGGTCAGCTCCAGAAACCAGGCTGCTGTATACATATGATTTATGATTCCAGCCAAGAATGAAGACTGTAATCATTGCCTACAAAGCCAACCTGATACCTCCACCAGATGAAACGAGTCTGCCTCAACCAATGCCCGTAACCAAAGTTATCTGCAATACAGTACAATAAAACTTAAGGTAATTAAGTAATCTAATATCCACAAATGAAGCTTCTAGTCAATCAGTTTTTCAGTGGAATGTATAACGATGACTAGACGTTGCTGATCTATAGTCCTCTGACAACAAATGAAGCGACCAAAGCACAAAAACCTGACAATTCACCAGGACCGCTAGTGCCAAAGAAGTATCTGTGAATATTTAAAATTAACAAAAGCCTGTTTTAGAGGAAGACTTCAGCAAGCTTCAGAAAGATTACATCTCTCAAACCACCTAAAGCATAAATAAATGTTGTAGCTCATGGCAGGCACAGTGAGAAAAAAGTAATATTATAAACCTATTCTTTTTAAACAACCACTGCTGGCAGGCATTTTTAAATCCAGGATGCAGATTTTCTTTCCCACCTCAGATCTGTGTTCTAGATTTCCTCCCTTATTGCAATAAAATGCCCACATTAATGAATACATTTCCACTAGCAATATTAGTATTTAAAGTTACTTGATAACATGATTACCCTTGGGAAATGATATCTTTCAAAGTAGCACAGTAAGTAAAGCAGCAAGGAGAATGCCTACATTTATACACCAAGCTGCCATTCACATCAATACAAATTACATGCAATATTATAATATTAAAAACTATGAGCTTTTGCCCAATTTAAACAAGGTCAGTTTGTTCCCATACATGCGGGAACTTGTGTATGTCAGAGAAAAACAAACTACTCAATGTAACTTTCACTTTTTTGTAAGTGCAATAGGAGAAAACCTGTATGAAATACCTCAGAGAAACATTTCTTGAGCGACTCTGGGACTTTCCCATCAACCACATGCAGCATCTTCTCCATCTCTTCGCGGACAACATAGCTCCCAGATTCATTAGAAAAGAGACTGAAAATGTCTGAGGAAGCAGAGATAGGTTTAAGCAACTACAATAGTTACATTTTTCATATATGAAGTTTACAACTGGCTGAGAGTGCCATAGGCTGTGCAACAACTAAAGGACTAGATATCTAGGTTGATTCAACTTCAATACCGCTCAACAAGCCTTAGGTCAAGAAGTATCTACTTATTCTTTTACCACTGTCCACTAATCAAAAGGAAAATAAACACTATCCAGGTCTGATTCACAAGGAAGACAAAACAACAGAAGTCAGTAGGCAGATGCTTTCGCTTGTTTTGAAAAATATCAACACCGTCCTCCCCCCTCTGCCCACACACAGCGATCAACAGTCTTTCCGTAGGATCCTAACATTTACATTCATGATGACTTATCAAATATTTCAGTTTGGTGAGTATAGAAAACAAAAACGCACTGGATTTCAAAATATACAGCAAATGTATGCCCTGGTTACATATAAAAATAGGGACTTCATAGACTGCAATTTATTTTTTCTTTAAATAAGCATATTTTGCAGTCACTAGAATAATAACAACAGGATAGTGGCTAAGTTGCATTACTTACATTTTGCTTTCTCTTCCTCTCTGCCTCTCGTAAGTAGAACTAATCCCACTATCAGGTTATTGAAGTGCAGCCCTTTAGATATTCCTCCAAATGAACAGTAGATAACCTAGAAGAATGAAACAGAGAAGTTAACAGGGAGAACAGAGACGTCAGAACTAAAAGCAACAACTTATATTGAGGCTCTGTCTTCTGTGGCTTTTAGACCAGTCACCTCACATTCAGCTAAACACACTCCTAGGATTAATTCTGTTACACTTCTGTAGCTCTTCCAGTATCTATAAAATAGCCATTACAGAGTCTTTTATTTAGCAAAACAAAGGGGATTTTAATGAACAGCAATATATATATATATAAAAAAAAGCTAGAATCCTTCAATGAAGACAGCTCCTTGCTTGCCCACTGCTGCTAGTGCCCCAAACTTTTTAATCAAGGTAATGATGATGAAATCTTCTCCGTATTAGGATGGAGGAGGTTCTTGCAGCATCAAGTGTCACTGCCCCAACCACAGGAGACGCACTTCCAGTCAGCCACCAAAAAAACTACTGCTTCACAAAGATGTGACAGACACACAAAACCCCACGTTCCATCAACTACACCTTAACTATCTTAACACCACCGCTGCTGCTAGAATCACCATTCCAGCTTAGTGCCCCTCTCTAACAATAGTACTTGATGATTTCTTCCAGCAGAAAGCAGCAGAAATCAAGACTTCTATTCAGAAGCTACTCAAAGATGCACAGAGTGGCCACCAGGAGCCACACAGCCAGCAGAAGGGCTGCAGCATTTACCTCTCCCATGAGAGGTCCGTGCTCTGCAGTGTGACTTACTCAACAGCACCTTAACCAGTGATTCAGCACTGATACATGAGATAAGGAGGAAGTAAGTCATTTTAGGACAAACAGCAACTACTTCTAGTAAACAAGAATTACCAACTCTCTTATTGCAATACATTACTTCACCTTGCCTCCAATGCAAGAGAATAAATGAAGCTACGTATTGCTGTACTGCTCCCCAAACACAGGTTCCTCCTGTAATCCCAAATTCCTTCCTACAAGCATTGGTACTTTATCAGTGCCATGAGACAGAAATCTGCATTAGGTATCAGAATTTAAAGCAGTCAGAACTTCTAAATAATTCTGACACAGAAGAATTCTTTCAGTGTCTATGTCTTTTAATTTGATTTTCTTGTAGGTATCACACTAAGCATCTACCCATAAAGAGAAGGTATTAAGTCTGGCTGAGGGGTTGCTATTACTGTGAAAGACCAGAACGAAGTGATTTGTCGCTGATTGTGGTTTGGATACAGACTTATTTGCTGAACTTGTTTTTTAAATTTAACTTTTTCAGAGGGAAAGATAAAGGAACAGAGATCAACTTCTATTAAGGAAAGAGCTGTGCACATTTTAAATAGTATTTTCTCCGCTTGCATCTGAATTACATTCTAAACAGACTATATTAAAACCAGGGTGTGTACATGCAGTTATGCACTGCTATTTCATTTTTCACCAGTAAAGCCCTGAATATATTATATGCTTATTGATTTCCACATCCGCAGAGGCTGGCACATGTCTCCTTTGAGTCTCTGGAGGATAATGGTGTGGGGGCTCTAACATGAGCTTCAGAAACATCTATGGCAAAGCTCAGAGAGATCTGTGTTTCCTCAAGTCCCTCAAGCCAAAACGAGCTGGGATTCTGCAAGAGGTTCACGAGGTTAAATGGAACAAGAAGAAAGTTACTGAAATCAAAATCCCTCTTTCTACCCCTTCCTTCCCCTCCAGCAGCAGCAATCACAGCCCTGCAGCCCAAGTGAAGGGTGGAAGAGCTGAAGAGCAGAGCCATGGAATGAATCACGGCTCCTGCTATCGCAGGTGTGGCTTCCATTGTAAGGCAAAACGAAGCCAGGACTGGGAGTGACCAAACAAAATCTATAATTTTGTTTGCTTCTCTCCTATCACAGTTATGAGGAGGTCCAATGCTGAAGCCCAGATGCTCTGAAGACACCTCAGTCCAGAGCTGCGTGTTACCTGCGGTAAATCTGCTCCTTGTCCACCCATCAAGCTATCCCTTTCACTGCTACCCACATAGGGCTATTAAAAGATGTCTGAAGGCAAGTAAATGAGGCTGACTACACAGAAGGCTCTAATTCTCCAGAAAAACATCATGTAGGACCTGCAGCTTCATCTCCTATGTGACCCAGCTCTACCTAAATCCATTAACTTCCCATCGGGTGCTCACATCAGCATCTTCTATTACTAAACTTTAATCCACTCACAAATGCTTCAAGGGCTAAATTATTAAAAACTAAATTTGTGCTCTGTTTGGGCACAACGATTGTATATGCTTCATGGTCAGTGTCGTGGTAGAGATCTGAATTCCACACTTTCTACTTCTAATTGTCCTGATTTCACAGGATGCCTTCAAGGCTCCACTGCCTATGTAAGCCATTTACCTTCACATTACATTGGAATCTTTACTTTTTTTATAACACGCATTTAGCTCTGCTGAACACTATAGTTTAAGTCTTAATATAACCACTTCTGATCCAAAAAAAACCCCATGAAGAGTCCAAAAAGGAAGAGAATTCTTACATTTCAGATAACAGGACTTCTAAGCCAAAAAAATAATATGAAGAAACAAAAGAGAAAACACTGGTTTTCTTTCACAAATTTTAATAAAATATGATCTTTTCTTTACACTTTATTCTTCTCCATCACTCAAATTTAACCTTTCTGTACTTTTAGACTTTTGAAGAGCAGCTATTTTATAAATTACATATAAACACAGAGAAGGAATTCTATGGATAATGTCCAGTGTATTTGTACTTAACATACGTAATCACAACCTGGCATTACTTTGAGTTCAGCTACTTAACCATTCTTTAGGCAGAGTTTACACACACTGAATAGTTTTAGAGCAACATATACCAGACATTAGTTTGCATTTCTAAGGAAAGAGCTCCATAGTTTTTCACATTAGTGAGTTATTTGGAAAATATCTAATAAGATACACCATTAAAAATATGACGCAATGTTGTATTTTTCAAAATTACTTAATACTCTTGCAGCTTTACTTGAAATAGCCACACCCAGGCAGCATCATAGCAATTTACATTTCAGAATGTAAAATTTAGTATAATTATATGGTACATAGTCATACTTTTTAAAATAAAATGTAAGTCTGACATGTTATGTTGGATGGATAACTGAAGAGTGTAACAATATGGTTCCTTTTCTATTAAAAACCACAAAGGCTCGGTCTATACAGACAGTTCCCTTCAGGTGCCAGTCCCTGGCCTGTGCCCACACGCTCTGCTAACCCTGCTGGAAGGGTAAGGACAGGATGCTCAAAGCATTCTTTTGGCTCCTTTCTCTAGAAAGCATAAAATGTTCCGGATTCTTTCCTGATTTCATCCTTATGACCCCTGTTCTCTCTCAGCCCTTGAGAAGTCTGTGTTCTTCTTTTGGCAGCCCCCTCATCGTGTCCTTCATCTTTCCGTTCGCACCATCCCTCTTCTCTTTGCATTACTCGGACTGCAGCTTGTTCAGCAATTAGTCACATTCAGAGAAAAAGAGGCACTAACGCTGAATTACATCGTAAGTATCACAGATTGCTGTGTATAAACCTTCCCACAATCATAATATATGTAAGTATATATAAAAGGTATAATCTATTTGGTCATTTAAATGACTGCACAGGCCAAAGTTCGAAGGTCCTTTTCCAACATTCTTCTCCTCCCAAGTCAAAAATACAAAGCTACTAGAAATGCTTTCTTTAAATATTATCAGCAATGCATCCTTCTACCTCCTCTGAACAATACTTTTCCTATCAAAGTGTCACAACTGCATATGGTAATTGTATTATTTCCTTGGATTTAAAAATAAACACCACGTTTACACATGTCACCACTTCACCAGCTTCCCCGCAGTTTAAACGACATAAACACAGCATCTCTCTTAATTTCATTTTATTAATATCTTCAACTCCATTTGTCCAAGAGATCCCCTCAGAACATTACTGTCCTGAACATATAAAAAATGTTTTGAGTGCACGACAATCATGTAAATTGTTTGACCAAAGTTCCACCGGCTTCAGTTCCCTGTTTCATGGCCCTGCTGTAAAACTCCGTGTTCTTAATTTAATGAGTTCCTGAAGGCCTATCACTACTCAGATATGAAAAACTATTATTCAAAACATGCAGAGCAGACAGCCCAGCGGTCTGGGGCTCAAAATGATCAATTTTAATGACTGAAAGGCTGAAAACTCAGAACAAGGCTTTAAGCTGCCTAATGACTTCACCTGCCTTTCCACATCCTGAAGCCAGGAACTACAAAGCATCCCTTCATGGCATGAGCAGAATTAAATCCAAATTTTGCCCAAATTCAAGCTCACAGTTAGGACTGCTGCATTGCCTGAAGATGAATGCTAGACATACACAGTAATTCGTACTAGAATATTGAGCTGTGCCAATTCAGATGAGATGACATCAAAACCAATTATGATTCTTCCATCAATTTTATTTCACCAACCAGAAATCAAGAACTGCAGTATAACTGCAACAAGTGTTAAGAGAAATAATCATCACTAAAATTGTGTCTTTAAGGATAGATTTTTAAAAAATACAGTAGAAGGGAGCCAGCAGACATTTGGAGGGGGGGGGGAAGTAACCCTCTGCCAAAGTGTTAAACCTTTTGCAATGCACACTTCACTACTCCCATTATCTAAATAAACTGGGAGACTTGTATGCTGCCAGTGAGGTCAATACCACTGAAGATACCAGAAATAGAAGCTGTGATTAGAAATGACATGGAGCAAGATATCATTTGAAAGGTCTTGCTAATCTTATTCTTCTCCACCAACAATATTTTAATTTCTCTCTCTCTCTCTCAGGGTAATACTATGAGAGAAAATGATGGTTTTTAAACATGTGTGTGTGCAGGATGGTATTACTATTTTTTTAGATATATACACACAATATTTATATCCATGTAGCATACTTTGATTCTGGATATTCTTTCAGTTAATTTATACATTTAATATATATCAAGTTATTTTTAAGAGATTGTAAAGATTAATCTGCACTTTAGAAAACAAAGTAAAAGCCAATGGAATTTCAGAGAAACCAAAAACAAGTACATCTCCAAAGCAAATAAAACCCTCTGTTGTAATAGCTACGTCCAGTGTTAAAACGTCCCAACCTTTTACTTCCCCACATCTACATCTGGATATTCAGGTTTACTTCAAAGTCTTCTACCACCTACTAGTTGGGTTGGAATGAGTAGCTGAGAAGCACCCATCACTGACAACCCAGTATCCAAGTCTGGAACATTATCTTCAGTTAGAGAATGCACATTGTGATATTGTATGAAAAAGGCAAAGAAATTAAATTAGCTCCTGTATCTGTACAGACATATTTGTGTGTGTGATCTCTAGGTGTACATTTACATTATCAACCACATATGCCTCCCCAGAAAAGCAGGAAGTTCACAGGTTACCTCAGCAACTTTTGGAGGGACTCCATCACCAAGAACTTCCCTGATGAAGCACTGTTGAGTCATATAACAGGAAAGTCCACAGGTTCTCTTGAAGGCATCTTTCAGTCGCTTTAGCTCTATGTCTGTAACTGTGTTGAGTGAGAAGAGAGAAGGAAAAAAAAGATTTGGTCAGTAAAGATGCTGTAGAAACGTAATAGCTTAAGGACTCTCAAAATCCTATACATCTAACATTTACCTTTACAACAGAAAGATAGGAAGAAAGTAAATGCATGATTTCACCTAAACAGTGGGAAAATCTGACTACTAGAAAACAAGATCTAATAATTCCATCTTCCCCCAAAAAAGAGAAGTAGACCTAAAGTTAATATCAATGATTACAACAGTTCACTGCCTGTTTTCTCTGACTACAATAGTGTATTATGATTTTTCCTGAATTATTGTCACACAAAAAGAAAATAAGCAGCCTTATGATCAATTTTACATTGCATGTAACCAGAGAAATGGTCTGTAACCAATAGTGGGGAATATTATTAAGAATAGCCTCAGTAGCATGCTGGAAGCAGTTTCGTCCAGCAATAAGTCTACTTTTCTGTATTAAAAAACAACCAAAACATTTAATCACCACTTACGTGCTCGTAAGACAGTACACTAAAGCACAAATTTAACAGGATTACTACAGTTAAACTTAGGACTAAATGTAACTCTTCACCTAAGATTTTTTTGCCCAGTCAAAACCTGATTGCCAGCTAAAGCCTGTCCAAATTCATTCACAACCTGTAAACATGAAGAGTTTGATGACCTCCCGTTTGTACTTGCACATGAGCTTCATGAAAAGCAGTCCCTGCATTCAGATTTTACAAGCATAAAGCAACTTTCTAACACAGCTTATAAGAAGTGAAGTATTTCACTGAACAAAATGAGAAAAATCAAGTTGCAGAGAATAACCCAAATCAGGTATAAGTTACCACGTAGTGCAGGAAGAGCTATTTACCATCTAGAAGCCAAAAGAAATGATGCTGGACGTGACAGCTATTTCACTGTATTTATAGTAAGGTATTTTCCTTGCCCTGATATAACAGGCCAGACAGAAACAACACTGACATGGCCAAAAGCTTGTCATGCTTTTTGTCAGCCAAAATAAAACAGAACACTTGAGAGCTTAATCCAGAGCTACATTTCTACATTTCAATTAATTCATTCATCAAAAGAAAAATCACTCCTTAAAAGAAAATCACACTGAAACATTCCTCCCTAGTTTTAATCTTAGTCAACACTGGAACAGACAACTGACTTCATTTAACAATTGTGTTTAAAAGCAGAAATTGGGTCATGCTTCCTTTCAAATTTTATCATAGACTGTGGATACTTGTGACCAGTAAAATTTCAAAGGATCTAAGAAATACACCTAAAGTGTGACCCACGCAGCACTGGTGCTGTCAATTAACACGGATTTGGTAAAAGACATACCCAAGTTATCATCGTCCCATACCTTGTTTTAATTAAAGAAGCATACTTTAATTACACAGCAGAAGAAGGCTGGTGTAATCCTGTCACCTGGCTTATTTGGTGTTTAAATGTCACTATTTCATATTAACATCTGTCCATAGAGTCATTTTCTTTCTTTGTGTCTCTACACGTGATGTTTATTGAATGCTCAAACACTGTTAGACACACCAGTTAAAGTTTTCTTCCAAGATTTTCCCTAGCTAACTGAAAACAGACCCTTCAATACAATATTTACAACCTGAAGCCACACTCTCCTCGCTCGCCAGCTCTTCGGAATCACGGAAACGGGAAGCAAAATAAAGATTCTGCAAAGAAAGGGACCCTCACACCACAGCTTTTCCTCCAAACACCTGCAAAAAATTAACAGCAGCTCTTCCCACCGGAGGGACACCTCACCTCCTCTCCTCCACCACCTCCCCTGCACAACCCAACCACAGCTCAACTTCAGCCAACAGGAACAACTCCCCACCACATGTTTAATGCGTAAAAGCTTGAGATTATTAAGGGGAGAGAAAAAGAGGAAGCTACTGGCTTCATTAATTTGTCAAGGTATAGCAAACAACCCAGATCCTAGACAAAATCTAGCAACAGTTCTTTCATAAAAATATTTTAATTTATTGTATTTTTTTATATGCATGAGTAGACACACATCTTTATTAAAAATACACTCTGCATTCTGTTTTTTGCTCTCCACTCGGTGAATTTTTTTGAACTCCTCACTGGTTAATCCAACCTGGTTTGTGATCACTTGGCAAAAAGTTTATACACAAACCAAGCGTCAACTAACCTGATGCTCACGGCTTTGCACATACTATAATGAACTTCCAAGTAACCTAATGAACTCTTACTGCAAAAATAAGGTTGAAACATACACAACACATAGAGCCCCTTTATTAAGCACTGTGTCACTCCTGATGCTTGCAGGTTTAGTTTTCTGGTTGCAGAGAAAATTCAAATAATTTTCCTAAAAAATGATGAGAAAAATGTCTTTTTTCCCACCGTGCATTTCTAACAACTGATTTTGTGTCCCTTGTTCCAGTTTGTTAAAGTTTCTCCCCAGCCCAGGGAGAGAAGGGAGGGGACACAGTGTTGTGTCCCGGCTGCACCAACAGCCCCCTGTGCCCGGGCAAAGCATTTTCACCCAACTCTTAAGTTCCTTTATTAAGTATATTCACTTTTTCCAAAGGCACAGTCTTACCAAACACTTTCAGGAGACAGTTGTCTACCAATACTGAAGAAAAGACCATTCACAAGCTGCTTTCATTACACAGACACTACGCTATGGCATGCACTGTCACTGCATTCAGAACCTGACAGTGAAAAACAGAACACGTAAGACTTCCCAAAATAAGTTTCTGGTAGCCAACACAGCAAAAACCACAGCCACACATTGCTCCTACCAGTAATAGGTGGCACAACCTCAATATTATGGCAGAGAAAGCAATGCAACTGGAACTGCACACCTAATTCTTTACACCTCAAGACTATGAAAGCTAACTTCTTCTAAGTGATAATAACAATTTGCACTAGTTAGTGTATTCTAATTCTTAAAATTCTATCTGCCTAATTCCATAAACCACCATTGAAACAAACAGAAAAGTCACAGACTATGTCATTCTGTCCAGGCAACTTTTAGAATCCAAACCTCCTGGAGGCTGCCTTGGCTGGATGGTTTCCAATAAAGTCAAAGACAGTGTAACAGAAGATTAGTGCTGCTTCCAGCTCTCCAGGGAATAGCCCAGCTCCAGTTTGTTTAATAAAGTTTAAATGAAACCATGCAACCTCAGCTAAAAATGTCACCGCATCTTACAGTAATTGTAACAAACCTTCAGCTCATTCAACTGCCAAGGATATTTTTAGTTTAATAGCGTTACTTAAACTTAATGCTGTTTATATGGATTTATGCGACTACTATTATTTTTTTTAAACTCACAACTGTCCAGGTAATGATTTGTCTGGCACATTCCAAAACAGTCCTGTGCTGGAAACCACCCTCTTTTCCACTGCTTTCACTCCTCGTGTTTGTCACTGAATCACATTGCAGTTTTCCTTTTAGATTAAAACTGTATCTGAAGCTCACACCACGCAAGCCTGGATCCACAACTGCAGACTTCAACTTTATTTCCCCACCCACATAAAACTGGCCTGAATTTCAGAGGGGATCCCCACCAGCTGTGTCACTGACATAAACGGGAGCTGCAGGGAATCTGTCTCGGAAAAAAAAAATCCTACATTTACAAAGAAGCTGAATATTAAATACTCACGTTCTGGACATTAGATATGATGTTCCGTTTGAAAGAGAAAGGCAGAAAATGCAGCTGAAGTTACTCCCCTCCTCATCCTCCTTAAAACTCACAGGGGGTTGTAAAAGCAAGGTTAATTATCTATCTGAAGTATTTACTGCCTAATACTCAAGTTCTCAAATTTACACGTGCTTGATCAACTACTCTCAAATTTTGTTTTTTGTCAATTGTCAAAATTGTCAGTTTTGTATAAAAATTGTAATCCAAATAATATAGATAATAATTTAGGTATTCACAATTTCTCTTCAGGCAACACATACTATTCTTTTTGCTTACCCATTCTGTAACGTTAAAGACCATCTTTAGATGTACCTTAAATTCTGTTTAACTGAATTAAGGTGGAGGAAATCAATCCTTACACTGCAGCTTTGGCACGTTTTGCAGACACATTCTCTATTCACTATTCATTTTAGAAAGTTTTCCCTTTCCACATCCTGTAGCACTAATCCCACCCCCACCCTTCTTGTCTCTCTCTCTCTTGGGAAGTTTTAAAATGCATTGTGAGCAACGTATGGGCCAGGGCACGGCACAGCCCCTGGCTCTCCACCACAAAGGTCACACTGGGAAGGACAGGACAACTTTAGCCAACAAATACCCGGGCAAAACTCAGCAAGCTGGGAAGCAAATCCCTGTTTACTCTGCTGTTACAAGGTTGCTAGTGAAATTTATTAAGAGGCATCAGTGAAAAGATGACTACATAATTAAATACACCAAGTATTGATAGTTGGTGTTTTTACTTCCCATCTTGGAAAAAGAGAGAGAAGAAAACGGTCACATCAAAGCCAACTCCTCACTAATGGAAGTACCCACATTGCATACTCCATCGTACCTCCTCCGAGACTAATGAATCTAAGCTAAGGTTTGTACAAGTTACCCTAATAGTATATTTTACTGTTTCAATAAAACACTGTAAGAAAGTAGTTAAAATCTTCCTTTTTTTTTTTTTTTAACGATACATTGCTAGGAACACTAACGAAGTGGAGATTGTAAGAACTGCCACACATCACAGTCCCTGCTCGGCACCAGTAACCAACTTGCACCCAAAGCCAGACCCGAGAGAGTAACTTCTCTTCCCATGGTGGAGCTCGTGGCTGCTCTCCAGAGCCCGCCCAGAGAAGTTTAAAGATTTACAGATGCACTGAAGAGAAGCAACACAAAATTTACGAGCAAGCGCTGCTGCTTAAGATGCACCAGCTCACACGTGAACGTTAAGCATTTTAAGAAACAAACACTCATTTCGAAGGGAGCTTGTCTAAAGGTTAAAAGAAGTGGTTAGTCAGGCTTAATGGATTTATTACAGCTTATATAACATAATTACTATATACCTCGCCTGTGACATGTGCGACGAGAGCAAGCACAATAAATGCATTTTAGATTCCTACTTAATATTTATTCGGAAAGTCAGACCGGCCATAAAAATACCTTCCTTTACAATGTTTCTTCCCCTACCCTTCAACATCCAAGCACTATTATGTAAAATGCTGTGGTGATATGGAAGGAGACACAAAATGCAGCTTTGGAAAGCACAAAGTTGTCTGCTTTAGCAAATGATAAGAAAAATAGCATAGAGCTACTACTATGGAGTTGCTTTAATCAGTGAAAAGGACAGAATCCCAATAGTTTAACTGAGGGTAGGTGGAGTTAATCTGCCGTGGCTACTATAAACTGACAGCCAATTAACATAATCTATAACAAACCGGACACAGAAACAAAGCACATATCTGTTTTCTTTCCCCTCATCTTATTAGAGAAATTAGTGACAGCTGAAAACAAATCAGTGATTTGGTGACCGCTATTTATACCAGAACCACAAAAGCAACACACAAATCATCACTTCCATTAATTCGAGTAGTAGGAACAGACCAAAAGGCTAATAAAATCTTTGTTTCAAAAGCCTAAAATATTTCATTTGGCTATATGAAATTATTTGTTCTAGTTTACAAGAGGCCAAAAAAAAAGAAAAACCAAAATCATGGCAGAAGGTATCGACAATGCTGAAAATCAAAACAGGAAACAAATCACTGCACAAGCAGGAAGAAAAAAAAAGAGGATAAAATGTTCAGTTAAGGTGAAGGGTCATGAAACTTTGAGCTCATCTGATTTAAAGTATCTTACAATATATCTAGCAGGGCTGGTACTTTTCCTCAGAATTGTAAGCATCAAACTGCCTACAATATTCTACGAACACACAAAAAAACCCTGAGTTTCCAAAGTCACTACTGGGTGAAAAAGAGCTTGCTACACCAGTGCCTTAAAAAAAACCCAAAACCAAAGCAGCCCTGCAGATCTCAAGTATATGGAGCAAGCAAGAATTTGTAGCCATCAGAATAACACTGCATTTCTTCTTTACTAAAAATAACCAAACTTGAATTTTAATAAAACAGACAACTTGATCATCTTTCAGAAAGCAAACAAACTTCACCTACCTCAAGCTCTACCTGACTTCCAGCTCAGGTTTTAATAATTCTAATATTTTGATCTTTAAGCGACAATTTTACAGGCTCAACATCAAACTCACAGGATATATAATTCTCTAACCAGACAATTATCTTCCCTGTAATCACTTGCTCAATATTTCCCCCAGGAATCTTCACCCTAGTTATACATGGAAATTTTATTACTTTTTTCATTAGTCTTTATTGTGACTTAATGGCTGCGGTTATGAAGTTG